CAACACTCTAAGAGATGCCAAAAGAGAACAACTTTATCCATTTTATTACCAAATAAATGATTATATATTTCCTGGCTCAAACTGTTTCTAATTAGGCTAGAAGTGAAAGCCAAAGCAAAATAAAGTCTACCAATTCAAATAAAAAATGAAATGCTACTAGTACTATAAATATCCTTGGCTATTCTGTTTAGTTAACAGAGTTGAAGCATTTAAAAAAAACAAAACAGAAAGAGGCCCCAGATAAGTAAAGCATTGTTGAAGAACAACATAGGAGGCCTTGCACTACCTCACCTCAGAACCTACTATACAGCTGTAGTAGTGAAAACAGCCTGGTACTGGTACAACGAAAGACACATTGACTAATGGAACAGAATCAAGAACCCAGATGTAAATCCATTTACCTACAGTCACCTAATCTTTGACAAAGGCCTAAAGTCCATTAAATGGGGAAAAGACAGTCTTTTTAACAAATGGTACTGGCAAAGCTGGATGTCCACCTTTAAAAAAATGGAACAGGACCCAGACCTTACACCATATACAAAAACTAATTCAAAATGGATCAAAGACCTAAATATAAAACTAAAAGTTATAAAGATCATGGAAGAAAAAACAGCATCAATGCTAGGGGCCCTAATACACGGCATAAATAAGATACAAACCATAACTAACAACACACAAACACCAGAAGATAAGCTAGATAACTGGGATCTTCTACAAATTAAACACTTATGCTCATAAAAAGACTTCACCAAAAGGGTAAAAAGAGAACCTGCAGGCTGGGGAAAAAAATTTGGCTATGATATATCCGACAAAGGTCTAATCTCTACAATCTTATCGGAAAATCCAACACCTCTAAAATAAAAAGACAATCCAACTAAGAAGTGGGCAAAGGACTGTGAGTTGCCATCTAAGATACTTCCCTGGTCCCACCCCATCTGGAGAAAGGGAGAATGAAGAAAACCAAAGACACAAGGGAAAGATTAGTCCAAAGGACTAATGGACCACAACTACCACGGCCTC